GAATCGAACGAGCGTGAAAAGATCACTGGCACTGATGACTCAGTGAGAAGATCACTGAATCACTCTTCGAATTTTGAGAAGGAAACCGCTGAGGAACTGAAAGCAAACGTTGTTGTTGATATGCCATCAACTTCAACTACACATCATCCAGCGTTCATCACATGGGATAAGGATCCTTTCATAAGGCTTCCTCGACCAGCCATATTAGTGGCTAAAAAAATGAACTCTGCCTCTGGATCGTCAGGAGGACTTTCGATCTCAAATGCCCATCAAAGCAGTTCTATATCTGAGGCTTCTGAAAGATTATCTACTTCAACTTCAACCGACCACCATACTAATCTTCTCTCTGGACCTTCCGGAGACGGTTTAGTATCGACAGGTTTGCAGCAAGGAAATGACGTTACCTCTGAATCCCTCAAAGGTCTAATATCATCAATTTCACAAGGGAGTAACCTTGCCAGACAGGATAAAAGTGATGGTGTTGTTTCAACGACTGTATTGCCAATCACTTACAGTGATAGAACCATCGATAGGGCTGATGCTCTGCTCACCACAACTCAGAAACCAGCATTCATAACATCAGATAAAAATCCTCTCATACCGGTGCATCAACCCACTGCAATGCCTTCTTCTATAGAAGAGAGCAACGCTACGCCTAGCAGTTCGATGGCATCTGCAACTTCAGTTGTTGAACAGCACAACATCTCTTCTGCATCTTCCAAAGGCTCGTTAACTTCAGTCGATCATCAGCATACAATGTCATCTGAATCCAATTCAGCTCTGGCCATTGCTGAGAATCACAGTTCTAGTGGACATCTTGTTGAATCTGAGAATTCGATAGCTGAAGGAAGCAAATCCACGCAAGAACCTTCGACAGCTCAAACAGTATCGTCTGAAGAACAAAAACTCGTTGATTCTATTCCAACGACTGCAGTACCGGTCACCACGTCAACTCAGAAGCCAGCTTTTATAACATGGGATAAAGATCCTTTCATAAAATTCACTAGGCCTACTCTAAAAACTTCAACTGAACGGTCCTCTCAAGCAATGTCAACTTCAATTTTGCAACAGATGCATGTTTCTCACGGTGACTCTGGAAGTTACGCTTCTGCTGATGAGTCTAGAAGTCATTCTTCTGCCGGTGACTCTGAAAGCAGAAGTAGTCATTCCGGAGGTTCTTCATCTTCTACTGTCCTAGAAAGCAGTTCTTCTTCTGGTTCCTTGCAAGGATCCTCAGGTTCGGTTGTCCATGAAAATAAGCTCACTTCTGGATCTCGTACGGAATTCTCAAGCGCACTTGCTCACGAAAACAATGAATCCATTCAACCCCTAGCAACAACTTCGACTCCAGATATCCCGCAAGGAACTGTTGAGGTGATCACACCTACAGCTCTTCCAAACACCGCAGTCAGCACCCAAAGCAGCATTCCACTCAGTTCGACAAGTCGTCCTCTATTCATAACATGGGATAAAAATCCATTTATCAGACTCAAAAAACCAATCCCATCATGGAAAATACACCCAAATACGTCCGCATCACTGCTCAATTCGTTCGCGTTTGGGATTTCTGAACAGAAAAATGTTTCGACCAAAAATCTAACTTCAATCAGTGGATCAAATGTTATGAGACAATCAAGCAATAATAAAACATATGAAACTTTGCAAACAAATATGCAATCAAAGGAAAGAGAAGCCAAATTAAATCCATCGAATTCTATGAATATTTTTTCGACGTCATCGGTTTCAGCTCTCAAAACAGGTTAGGTTTTGTTGAAAGTTTCATCTGGTAGAGTGCACGATGATATCTCATTAGGGCATTTTGAGTCAAATGATAGTAAAGAGAGCTCTGAGTTTATTGAATACTGTATCAGCACAGCGTCTTCGGTAATGGCTTCCCGGTTCTTGAGTACTTCAAAAAATCATTTTCGGTTTTTAATAATTGTTTCCTTCTGATTATAACGACTGCATCCCATCATAGTGACGTGAAATTTGCATGAGTGGAATTGCATGACTTTGGGATAGCATAGCTTCAAATGGTGGAATTCTCAGTAACTTATCATCACTTTTCTCGTTGAAAATAACCGACTATAGCAGAGAAAGTAGCAGTAACATGCATGACATAACAATAATATCTCTTCATTGATCGATTATTTTAGTCTATTTCCTCAGATAACCAATACAAACCTAATTCGCTAACAATGAACGATTTTGAATGAATATCATTTTTATGTCAGCAGTGTCTTGAAATTCCGAAACAGTAATATGAAGCATAAAAAATTAAGCGCAATTCTAAGCTGATAATAATGAGAGGTTGATAGGATGATAAGCTGATAAGATCATCAAGTTATATTCAGCCAGAATATGTGATCNTTCGCTAACAATGAACGATTTTGAATGAATATCATTTTTATGTCAGCAGTGTCTTGAAATTCCGAAACAGTAATATGAAGCATTAAAAATTAAGCGCAAGCCTAAGCTGATAATAATGAGAGGTTGATAGGATGATAAGTTGATAAGATCATCAAGTTATATTCAGCCAGAATATGTGATCATTTTGGTTTAGATAGTGACGGATCAGGTATGAACCATACGAGGATGGTACCGATAGTGCTAAGTTCGGAATGGCCAACAGCGTTTGCGAATCGCGAGGGCACAGCACATGCTCAAATTGCAATCGCACCTAATGCACTCTTCCTATTGAATTATGGCAATGAACATGAATCCACATCCACCGCACAACAGCCGTCGTCTACCATTGTAATCGCACCGAATCAAGTATCATCCATCGTCCAGCCTAGTCCCATGCACTCCTCTGACAACACTGACAATCAGTTGTCGTCGAATTCTGTTCAGATCACTTCTAACACTCGATCAGATTCGTCTTCGTCTCAAACCTTGTCGACGTCCTCTAATCAGATTTCGTCTTCATCGAATAGCATCAGTTCATCGCTAAGCACTTCATCTCAGCATCAGTCCGACTCCTCACATGATTTGCTATCAGCGGGCACTACTTCCAATGAAGTGCTCATGCAACTTCAAAAGCAACAGCAACACGAACAACAGTCACAACAAACAAGCAATACTGATGATAGAAGCAGCCAAAACAGTAATCGCATTACTGATTCGTTTCATGGCAAATTTGATTTTGCGCATAACATCGACATAACTAGTAAATCTTCCGATAATGCTGCTGCCTCAACAGTTTTGAACAGCGGAAGTCAACAAGTCGCTTCCGTTTCAACTAAGGAAACTGATCAGGAATCGAGGCAATCAGTTGATTCGTTGAGCGGAGCAAACTCGTCATCCAGAAATGATCGAGTTGATCAGGCCAGCAGAAGTAACGATCGACTAACAATTTCATCTAGCGATCGACTTGCTGGAAACCATGTCAATGATCATGCGCTCGATATAACTGATCATTCGATGAGTTCATCATCTTTCTCTGAGCATAACTTATTAACATCGAACGCCGATAACCACTCACAACAATCCGGTTCAATGACTTCCGAATCCACTCAGCATTCTCACCAGGAAACTGTGCAATCAAACGGTTCGACGGATATCGAAGATATATCGCAAAAAACAGATCACCAACTTGTAACTGGTACGATGTCTCAAACAACTGAAATGCCTACCACTAAGGAATCCATTCCACTGAGGACACCGAACGTTGCTAGTGAAGCGATAAGTACTCGTACCACTGAGGTGGTGAGTACGACAACAACGATTGCGATTGTACAAAGTAGTGTTGATTCAGCAGCAGCACAAATCCAGCAGCAGACTGTGATTACTGCTAATAATGTCAAGGAATCGGTGATTAGTGATAACTCAATAACGTCAAATGGTCAAGCTGATGATAAAGTTGTTGGTCAAGCAACAAATACCTATGCAGAAAGTCAGTCGGCCGCCACTGCTCCAACAGCATCAAGTTCTGTTGCGGCGCAATCCGGCGTCACCAATGCTCAAGCTTTGCATTTGGCTTCATCCACTGATACTCAGGAAAAGGCTTCAACGAGCAATTCTCACGTGCCGCCATCTCTCCATGCTGCGCACATCTTCAACGCTTTTTCGTTACAACAAAAAACTGATAATAATTTGTTAGAATCTCAATCAGTGGTTCAGTCGAACGAACATTTGGAATCGTTCAGTCGGTCTGAAACAGCTGCAAGTTCCAATTTGCAGCAGCAGCAGCAACAGAATCTAGAGCAGTCGATGCCATCTGATATGCCCACATCTTCAACTATTGCTTCGACTTTATCAACAACTACATCAACAACCTCAACCACAACTTCATCGCCAACTACGGTAACTTCGACTACTGACTCAACGATCATCCCGTCCCAACCGGTCAGCTCAACAGGTGGTGTGCTAAATCTCCATGAAGCACATATCTTCAACGCTCTCTCAACACAAGCAAAACCAGACACTGATAGTACCTCAGCGAAATCACCGGCAAATAGTCACCCGAATGAGCCTTCGGTGTCGTCGTCTGGCAGGAGTGAACCGGCAGAAAGTGCACTAGGGGACCTTTATCCAGCCCACACTTTCAATGCTTTCTCATTGGAGCAGAAGTTAGCCGTAGACAGTAACAACTTAGCGAAGTCCCAAGTCTACGGTACGGATTCTAACGAGCCTTCAGCGTCCTCTTCAACAACTGCAAATGTTGAAAGCACAATGTCAAGCCATACTCAAGAGGAGTCGTCATCAGTCGCCAATACATTATTGAATGTGCAACAACCGAATCAGTCACAGCCGTCACAGTCAGGTTCACATTCTTCGGATAGTGATGGCCACACAGAAGGAACAAATATAGGCTCGGAAACAGGTACACGCAATGTGACTGACTATCTTGCTTGCGTATCGATCTATCACTGTCCATTTCATCTGTATTCGAAACCTGTGTCTCGGGACTTACTTACACTTATGAGAATGAGACTTAATTTATGAAACTTATTCATGAGCTCTTTGACTCTGTCTGTCAAAGCACTCAGTTTTCAGCACTCCGTACTTCTTTTTCTCACGATAACATCTCCTTTATTATTAGCCTGTTATTTGTAATTTTATCAATTCCACTGGAACTCTGCAACTAGGAAAGTGATTTTCTGCACGTATCTCCTCTTTACTCACTTACGTATTTCCTCAGAAAACTAAAAACTACGGACACCGTCAGATCGTCACTACAGATTGAATCTTAATCAGCTCTTATTG